ATCCCTTCCAACCTAAACAATTCTGATTTTGTTATTCAGTGTCTACATAACAGGAAATGACTCCCCAATTTATACCACACGCACAAATCCTGGAAACAGAAACAGGACCTCTAACAAGTATGATTTCCATACAACAAATCCAAATTTCTCCTCTTTTCTCTGAGAAATGGAGGAAAATAATGAGCAGGGGGGTAATATACTCAAACCATCACTGATCTTACTCATATCAGAAGGTTCACTAGAAATGGCATTAACTTTTAGGCTCACTAATGAGTTTCCTGAAGAAAAGACATGTATATATATGAACAAATATATAAAAAACTGTACACACCATATTCACATAAGCAATGCATGCTTTAATTGCTTATTCAAAGATTCTCCATCAGTGCCTCTTCTAATGAAGCTGTGAACCTGTTACAGTAACACGAGTCACATGTAATAAAGGAAATTCTCCAAGTCAAAAATAGTAAAATCAACACTGTTCAAGAGAAAAATAGGACAGATGTAAAAAGTGATGAAAGAAGTATCAGACAAAATATTTTTTTTTATACAATTCAGTATGAGTAAGTCTAGGTCCCAGATACAATTTATGCTTTGTCTTTAAAGTTGTGGAGGCTTGACTCCAAATGTCAGCTAAATCCCACAGAGCTGCTGGCTCACTCTTCCACCAGTGAGGCAGGGTAGAGGATAGGAAGACCAAAAGCGATAAAGCTCATTGATTGAGATAAAGCCAATTTAATGAGTGAACAGGGGGAAATTACCCCCTAAAGTCACCAAGTGAAGGAAGGGCAATCAGCCACCACTTCCCATGACAGACTGATGCCCAGTCAGTCTCTGGGCAATGGCTACCTTCCCCTAAAGCCACTTTCCAGAAACGAAGAAAGGTAAATCCATCCCAGCCAGGCCTACTACAAGGGTCCATAGTGTATTGGTCCATAGGTTCTACATCATATTGTCTGACACTTTCCTAAGAACATGCTGTATCACTTTTTACAGGACCTTTGATCCTGCTTCAATGGATCACATATGTAGTTTATGACCAACAGTCTCTGTATTCAATTGTATTTGTTGTGGTCAAGGCAATACAATACATTTCTCTACATCTCCTACTGACCTCTTGCAGCATCCCAGAAAAACAATATATTTCAAGATGTTCATTTAGGCTGTTTTTGATTTTCCAGTCTGATGCAAATGTTTAGTGACCTTTCTAACCATCTTTTGGGGGCTGATATCCTTCATCTAGTCATGTGGCCGTCAGAAATGTGCCTATTGACCTATCATCTGATGTGCAACCTCAGATAACCCCAATGCATTAGCATATAAACTAGCAAGAAAGCAGCATCAGAAACATTATTGTTATGATCAAAGTGTGCTCTGATGATTCTCTCCATCTGCTGTGTCCCGCTTGTGTTTCACTTGGTTATTTATGCTTCCCATACATTCCCATACATGTGGACCCTACTTCTAAATTGATATATGCTACATCAAAACACAACAGGTATTGTTTCTAACATATACTGAGGAAATACATTTTGCTGCACTCTTAGCAAGCTTAGTTGTGAGACCGAGACATGTTTCCATGTTCTTATGTTCAGACGCATTTAAATATATATATTTACAGCTCCCTAAATGCTGATATTGATATGTATAATTGAAAGATAATTAGAGATAAATGCAGTTATAAAGCTACTTAGCAAAGACTTATACAAGCCTGCATCTCATGTTTTGTATTCTTAATCTAAAGCTGTCTTTTGCATCCTGAAGTGTATTTCTGTGTAAGGAAAAGTATGCAAATTAAAAAAAAAAAAAGACAATAAAATTTGCATTAGTAGAATTATCTTCTATTTTGTCCTATTTTATTTTATACAGCTAAGTGATCACAGGTCAACCTCTTGTTATTTGAATCTAAGGTACAAAGTAAGTGTCATTGTATTTACCACAGAAGTATCAGAGACTACATATTTCATAATGATGTAGAGTGTCAATATGCATGTTAATCCCTTGAGCTCATTAGCAACAGGTATGGGAACATGGACATTGATAAATAGTTGCTATTCTGAAGAGAATTACTCATTTTATCTTATTGTCTTCATTAGAGTTCCTGGGGATCTACATTATGAAGAATAAGAAGAAAAATCACTTTTCATTTATTTAGGAATGAAGGCCCTGTGTTTCATGAAAGAGATGCAATTTATAATTAAAATTCAGGAAGATTCAAGATGTATATTTTCAGAAATTTCTGATTGAAGTGATAATGTTCAGCCATCATTCACCAAAAGTAATCGTCTTTTTTGTCTGTACCACTATATTCTCATTTTTATGACTGGTAGAAGTACGCAATCAGAAAACAATGCAACATCAGTTCTGTGACTTTTCTGTTGAAAGACGATACACTGTTAGTGTTCAAACTGCACATTTGGCTGAAAAGGTACATGTCAATAAGTGCACACTTGTGGATGGTTTTTATTTCTAAAAAACAATTTTTGGTGAAAGGACACAATCTCAAATGGCCACGAAACAAAAGCATTTTTATCTGTGCTCTTATTCTGGATCAGTAAGGAGTAAACCACTGAAGCTCCATCTCTCATAATTACACAAAACTTTAACACTTTTAAAAAAACCTCATTGTTTGATATCAGGAGTGGATGTCTTTTCCAAGTGCTACTTTAACCTCTAGGATTCTTCGGAAATTAGTGGCTTCTAAGCTAAGAAATTTGGGGGGAGCAAATAAAGAGAAGAAGAGAGGCGATGGTGTGAGCAAGCACTGGTCCTGCTTTGGCATCTCCGCTGGAAGCCTCAGAGCGGGTCTGTGCTGCAGCCGTTGTTTATCTTTTCGGAAATTAATTTGCCTATGCAGGAGTGGAGAAGAGAGGATAAGGATTGATAAATATCCCAAGAAATTTGACTTAAAGGAAATGAAATTGTCAGTTTACATTTCTGGTGCTCATTCAGAGAGCAGTAAGACAGAAAAAAATATTTTTAGTCTCATTCAAACCTTTGCTTTTTTATCTGAAAGAACAAAGGGAACACATTGAAGGGAGCGCAGCACCACAGTTGATTTTGCCAGAAACAAACTTACCTACCACAAAGAACCTGCAAATGAATCCAGGAAAATGCCACATCATATCTCTGCTCTGCATTTGCTGCCAGTGAGGCTGAGATAAGTAGTATCTACTTCAAGGTACTGCAATGTAAGTGCTTCAGAAATGACCTCATTTTTCAAAAGTTTTATTGTTAAGTTTGAAGACTAGACAAGGTCATACTGGTTTTACATCGTTCTACATGATTTAAGTATATACAAAACCATTGGAATATTACACAGCTTGAAAGGTTGCAAAGGTCATTGTGTCTGAGATACTTCTGTACTTACTGACACATCAGAAGCCAGCACTGAATATTATAGTTCATATTTGTTGTATAGCAAAGATACACTCATTTAGAATCCTTAGTCTTCAAAATTGACACTAATTTGTATGCAGCCATTCCAAAAGAGAAAGTCAACCTCAAAACCAGAGCCAGTTAACGTGATAAGCCCTTAACAGAACACAGATAAAACGGAGCCTCGTGCCGGTGCTTTATTTCCCAGGCTATAAACGTAGCACATTACAGAGCTACAGAAAGGTGAAGTCTGCCTACAAATACTTAACTGGTTCAGGGTGAAATTTAATTAGGAGAACATTTTCAGTCACGTTCAATGCCATTGTTATAATTAATACAGAAGTCAAGGATCATTTCAGAGCACTTCTCCATCCTCTCTTAAAGGGACATATCCCATCGTGCACTTATTCCTGGCTGTGGGTTACCAGTTGCTGTCACTGGGAGAGTACAGTTGTGGTGATTTATAACTTGTCCCTTATGTCAATGGTGTTCACCAAGACAAGAAAATAACACAAAAGGGAAAAAATTAATTTCTAGACCATAATCTGATTCTCATCTGTTTTGTTAAATCTGAAAGAAATCAAGAGTTATTTCAGACTTATACTACTGACACTGGGAGCAGAATTTGGTACTATGGCTGCACAATGCTATTTAAAGAAAAGTTCTTAGTAGCTAAGGAATAATTGAATTAGAAAAAGCCCCAGTATGTTGGTTGAAATTGTAAGGGCATCACATTCTTTTATAACTTATCACAGAGTGCTATCATAATGTATGGAGCTTTCTTTGCAGTTTGTGAAGATTGCTGGCAGCTGAAAGCTGACACAGGACATAAGGATGAAAATACCCAACTCTAAATTAGTACAAAATAAAATTGCTATGTTAAGTATCATGACAATTCTATTTTTATATGCAGATGAATGGATAACAATTACAATTACTAAACCAAGAAATACTAATTCAAAACCAAAATGGAAGTTGCAAAAAATGAATAACATGGAAAAAGATCACTTAAGAACACAACAAATATTTCAAAAGAACATTGAAGCAAGTTGGTAAACTAGGGAGCCTAATTTTCTGAAATGGCCTTCAATATTTTGGGTACAGTTGGCTGGTGAAATAGTACATGCTATTCTTCATATCTGTAATTAAATTCAGGGTCAATTGCTCTCCCATAACAGAAAAATGTTTTTGGACATCTTTAAATATTTTGTGTGCCCTAAAGATATATTTATGATGTCTTTTTCTTTTTTTTTTTTTTTTTTTTGTAAAACCTAAAATGCAAAAAATGGGCAGCAAATAATTTGGGAATAAAATTGCTCAGAGTCAGAGGAAAGAAAAGTGCCTTAGTTTATCTCCCTTTAATACTGTATTCCAGTAGACAGACAGATGGACTGAGAGATTCCTGACAGACATAATACTGTCCTCCTCCATAATACTTAGGCTCCTTTGGGAGGTTATCCTTCTACTTTTTAGAAAGCGTTTCCTCATGTTTCCTTTATGATTCCACAATCTTTCCCACATCCAGTATTTTTCTTCCTGTCTTCAGGGACTATAAGGAAAAGAAGTGAACGTGCAGTAGATTTTTATATATTTGAAAATTATGATCATGTCTCCTATTTGTGCCCCTAAAATATTTTTTTGATTTTTTTTTTTTTTTTTTTTTTTTTTTTTTGTAAAGCCTAAAGTGCAAAACATGGGCAGCAGATAATTTGGGAATAAACTTGTCCTCCATTATTCAGATTTTTTAATCTCTTTTAAAGTACCATCATGATTGACTTCCTCTTTAAAATTGCTCACTATGCTTGAAGACCACTCCATATATACATCATTAAGGAATGCTGTTAACACAGTTACAGACAAGACAGTAACAGTCTAGTGGCTTTTGTTATGCAGCACAAAGTAAAAAATAAAGAACAAACTTAGCAGTGTTGCACAGGACCTAACATTTCTTACACATACTTTTACCTTTACAAGACTCTTCTTTAGAAGTCTTTAAATGTCTAAGCCTTATAAAATAAATACTTGTATAAATACAGTTTAAGGATTAAGTCATTTTATAGAGGCAGGGTGTTCTTTTAGTTAAAATGTGACAGTTTAAGTGACACTATCAGAAAACCGCCACCAATATATCCCCAATTAATGTATGTAAAATTCCTGGCTGCTATTCTAGAGTCTTTCACAGTTCAATGGATAATATATTTTGTCTGTGGTGGAGAATGTGTGATTAAATGCAGGTTGTTGAAATCCAAACCATTTTGTTTCCAAAGTAAACTCTGCCCTTTGCAGACTGTGGGCCAGCTAGCTGTTTGCCTGGGAAGCAGTGCCCAGGTTCCTACTTCAGAGTTTTGATAAGACTGTAACGGTGACAAAGAAGTAAGTTCAGTAACATTTGCTAAAGCATGCAGCTGTATATACCTATCTATCTCTCTCCACATCAGCATGTTATGAAATTAAAAGGGTGCAGTAATCCCAAATGCTGTTATTTCAGGTGACAGGTAAACCGTCCCCTCGCTCCTTGTCCTGGGCTTTTTTTAGACTTAGGTGCTACTCTAGCATAGTCATAGACTCATTTATTCCAAGGAAACTCGGAGTGCTCTACAAAGGTTGGTACCATTACCTCCATCATCATCAGAAACAGAGGCACAGGAGAGGATGTGCCCTCTACTGCTTCACTTTTCCTCCTAAAACCTACGTTTTAAACTGGGGTCCTTGCTGGCTGTTGTGTTGTTAAAACAGCATAGTGTGTATGAATCATTTCCGTAGATGGGGCATGATAAAAATGAGTCTCCTCGTGGCTCACTGGCGTATGTCTGAAAAGGCATAGTTAGGAGCAGAAGGCAGCAAGGGCCCAGCTTTGATGAACTCCTACATCACCTCTTGCCTTCATGCCCAGGAAGAAGGCTGTGAGCACCACCATAAGAGCCTACTGAGAGGGTCTCCTGGCAGTAAGGGAGTCATTCCTCCTGTGTGTTTCTTAGCACCCGATTCCTGCACCCCACATTTACCCCATAACAGGAATTGAGGAGGTTTCTGGGATCAGTAATTGGGCAGGCAGCTCCACCTAGGGTTGTGCGCTCACCCCTGGGCAAGTCACAAAATGGGTTCAGGATTTCTGATGCGCTGTTTGCCTTTACCTACGTGGGTACTTACGATGGGATACCACAAGTAGCCTGGCATCTCATCTCAGCCTCCTTGAAAGAGCGCATCTTGAGCAGAATTAATAAACTTTGGCAAATTCATTAACTTCATAATATACTGAAAGCAGATTTTGTTCCATATGCAAACAGGTCACCTCTTTCAAGGAAAATAACATCAGTGGTGATACTAAACAGAAAAGATGGAGGTCATGTCTACAGCATGCAAAATAGAGAAGGAAAATGGGGTTAGTCAGGAAAACCCTTTAGTTGCATGGACTCTGCTGTTCAGATGAAAAGTGATGAAAGGTAGCTTGTAATATCACAGGTACTGCCTTTTACAGTACCACAGAGTATCTTCCAAAATATATGTCATAAATACTGACAGTGTTTGATAGGCACAATTACTATAATGCAGTCATCCCCAAGAAAACTTATTGCTAAAAGCTGCAGTATCACTTTTTGCAAGTAAGATGACAGTATGATTTATGGAGAACTCGTCAGCCCAATGTTTCTAAAGCTGCAAATGAGCTTTGTCATGCTATTTCTCTTCCCTTGTAAAAAGGATGCTGCCGTTTTTCCCTAACACGTTTCAACTAGTGTGAACAACTCAAAGGAAAACTAGAAAGATAATTCCACAGCAGAAGGGACAACACTAACAGATTTCAAGGACAAAATCGGATTGGGATCATTTAAAGGGCAGGCTTAGACCTCCTTGCGAAAGACAGTTAGCGGCCTACCATAAAATGAGCACTTGTTCATGAAAAACCCACTCAGCATCCTACAGGCTTTGCACAGTTTCTTCTACGGAGGGACTTGTGGCTATACCGAGAGCTGCGACGGAGGTCGGCCTCAGTCCTCCACGGCGCAGCCCAGCAGCTCCGACCGCAGGGTGATCCTGCCGTACCATGACCACGGGAGGATGCGGATGTGCCGGGCGTAGATTGGAGGGTCGATGACGTTCTTACGGTGCGTGTCGTTGTCAAAATTCCCCTGGAACACCTGAAGGGCGAGTAACGAGAAGGTTTGAGGCTGGGTGGCTTCAGGAAGAGCTGCGCTACACTCTTGACATCCCTGGGCCACTCCCTGGCCTCCATCCTGAATTTTGATCATCCAGGCACCCAGATGATGCTGCAGAGATGCTGCCTTTGCTAAGACTTGGGGATTTCATTGCATGCCAGGCACCTTGGAGCTGGCTATGAGCATGGCATACGCACGGTGCAGGTTTAGCCCTCGATTCAAGGCTTAATCTGCTGTTCTGCCATCACCCAGAGCCCCACTCTGAAAGTTACATAAAAATAATTAACACTTAAAAAATTAAATGACTTTTTACTTGGCATTTGTATCATGTCAAATTAGTCCTAGGAGACCCTGTTATTGTTTCCAACAAAATAACATTAATAATTAAAGTTAAGAAGCATTTTTATTGTATCACAAATGGAGTTCGGATGCAACCATATAAACCCTTGAAAACTTAGTGATTATCAAAGATACTGTCTTCTTCTGTTGAACAAAAGTCAACATATGAATTAAGGCCATAGGTTTGTGATCAAATTAAAAAATCCCAGCATGGTACAGTGCATGTTACGATGTTATTTCCACTGGCGTGGGTTAGTCAATATGTAAGTGAGTTCTCAAACTTCTGTCTGTCTTAAAGCAACGCTGGATTTTTCCCCTGGCAGCTACTATTTAAATTCAAAGGCCACAGCACCACTTTTTGGCAAAATGATCAGATTATTCTCTGGGGATATTTTCAGTTTTTATGGGAAATATTCGTTCTCTTCAAATGTCAGCCAATTCACTTTTTGTTTGGAAAAACTGTATTTGATGGCTTTTCAACTTGAAATGAATGAGTTTTGTTTGCATCACGCAGAGAAGGAATATGGACCTCCTGAAGAAGTGCTTGTGTGACTGAATTAGTACAGAATGACAAGTTTTATGGAAGCTCTTAGGGAAAATGTCAGAGGGTGAATTCAGAAGAGGCTGATCAACTATTTTAGCCCTCAAGCTGGTTCTTTCGTGACATATTTACAAAGCAGCACTATAGGAAAATCTTCACTTTGTGGTCTCTATGCTGCACCTTTTCTTTGAATTTCTAAAGCTGCTCTCAAGTGCTATCAATTTGGCATCTCAAACAAAACGTGTATCCTCCCCAAGTGGTGCTCTTTCATGAGTGATACATTTCCCTTCTCATCTGGTGTCTCACTAAGACGGAGATGGGAGCATTAAAGCACCTAGCAGTTAGGATGTACGTATAAAATTGCAGACAGACTGACCACAGAAACATCAGCACTGTGAGTTGAAGGAAAAAAAATAATGTATTTACCACGGGAAAAATTGCTTGTTCTCCAAGTACAGTGTTGATTACATGAATCAGCTGGAGTTTGGGCTAATAAGGTTGCACCTGAATTTTGAATTTCATTTGTGGCAATACCGCATACAATAAAAGGCAGTAAGCTTATTATTAAAGTTACAGAGTGGTACCCCCCAATGTATAATATATAGCTAGGAAAGCTTACAAGTAAATTTTTTTCATTTGGCTTCTTGTGCATGCATGCAATATATCGGTTGATTATTTTTTTTTCACTGAGCCAGATGATAGGCAATGCAGAACTGCAGAAAATTCTTGCTGCAGAGACACTGGAAAATTCTTTTACTCTCTATTTCATTTTCCCTATGTAAGATGTATTTCAGAGATAACATTTAAATGAAGGCTTAGAACAAAAAACATTGTCGTTTACTAGAAGAACCCATCTGCAGCCCCAGTATTTGTCTGTTTTCATAGCATATACCTATGAAAAGGAAATAAAAGTATGTGATGCAAACCAAGCAACAAATACAGCTGAAAAATGTAGGATTGTGTCATTTACTCAGAGCAGGAAAATGAGAAGTAAATCGTATTTCTAACTCATACGTGATTGCATTAGGACTTGAATTCAAACTCTTCTGTTTCAGAGGCTAATTTATGAAAAACTGAAATTTGCCTTTCCTCAAAATTCAAGATTCAATCTCAAGAAATTAACTAAATGTGCTAGATCAGAAAAAAGATTTTAGGGAAATAAGTTTATCAGAAAGTGAGGGAAGCTTTTGTCAGCACCCACAAATGTGACCTGCATGAAATATATATTCTAAGAGCTTATTTACCAGATGTTTTTGCTGTGGACCCATGGAAAATCTCTTATGGGGAAAACATATTCTTTATCACTCTTCATTTTACTTCAGCTTAAGTTCACTAATGAAGCCAAGAAATTTGGAGAGAGCAGGGAGGATAAAGGACAAAAACTGTACATCTGACTTATCAGTAGAAGAAAGTTATTTCTGTACCCAAAGGTAATTTTTCTTTAATTACCTGCTGCTTTATGCCCAAACAGTCAATATTAAATGAACCACCTAAGCAATTAGAAGTTTTTAAAGAGCTGGTAGCCTCAAACCATAAATGTTCCCTCCTTGCATTTCTTTCTGAGAAGTTTGTTTCAGTATGCAACACCTCTGAGGACTGTAACGATTTATTAGCATTCAACAAGCTGATACTGGAGTATATACTTACATAACTCTATGTAATTTTTCAGATGAAAAAGAAAAAAGCCCAATAATATTAAAAGCCACGCTGATTAGTGGTCAAAGAATAAAGAGCAGAGTGCAAGTTATTAACGTGTCAGTGCATAAAGCCAGTGGATATCTTCATTTTGAGTTCTGGGTGGGTGCGGATCGGGTCCTGCCTTATCTCTAACAGCAAATACACAGAGTGAAGTGGCAAGATGGCCACAAGCACAGAAGAATGTCCTTTTACAGATTATTAAATGGACTAAATCTCTGGAGCCTGAAAGGAGATGTGATAGGTGTCTATGAAATCATAACTGGCATGGAGAAAATCAATAGTGGGCAGCAATGTTGTGCTGTCCCCTTGCTGGAGCCAGAAGGTTTGTCCTGAGCCAGCTAAAGGTCATCGTTCCCCCTGCAAGAGATAGTTAAACTGTGGCACTGCTTCTACAGTTTTTAAATACTGCTAAAGATCAGATAAACTGTTAGGTGCAAAACCAGCAGGTGCTATTAAAAGTACAGATAGAAGAAAGACAGAGGCTGGGAAGGTACAGCCCTATTTATTTTTTTTTTTTTCCATTTCTCTGGTCATCTGCTACAGGATGGTCCCTCCCTTGGACAGGGCTTCAGCCTCACCCAGCCCAGTGGCTCCCGCATTACAAGATGCCTGTGTTAGTAAAATTTGACTGAAGCTCCTGTATTTTAACAGTCCTGTTGTAACATTAAAGATTTTACAGTGGGTACATCTATTTATGTCAGTCTGCATACTTGAAAGGTGTAACTTGCTAAAACATTTACTCAGCAGCTTTAGTAAGTTTATATATACACACCCCACACACATATGTGTAGCTTCTCTGTAGCTTAGTCTCTTACAGCTGCTATTAAAATAAAAAAGTAGAAAAATCATGTTGTTGAACTTTTAAGTAGGATTACTTATTTTATCATCAGTGCAAGCAAAAGAGAATGAAAACCTGGAACATATGTACTGATATTCTCTGCAAAAATGTTTTCTGAAATATAAACAAGTCTTGCACATAATTGTGTCTAACAAGGAATTTGAATGTCTTGCCTTCAAACATTAACTAAGATTTTTCAATAGTGTTGATTTTTCAATAGTATTTTTCAAAAATGTGTTTTACAGCATAAGCAGCAGATCTGAATAATGCCACTGTAAATGGATTCATATTTTAAAAAGAAAACTATCATGTCTTTTATGATAGAATACTTTAGAAGAAATACCTAAAGAAGAATAGCTTGGGAAAAGTGGAATTTATTACAAGTGATGTTTGCTTTGCTCCAAATGTAGATCTAGAAACCAGGTTTTAGGGCACATCCATTAACAGGTGGCTGCAGTGGGAAAGACTGTTTGTGGTGCTGTGTCAATGGGCGAGGAGGAAGAAAATTATCTCCACAGAGAATCTTTCTGGATCTCTCATCTTGCAGAAACTTAAATTGCATGAACAGTCTGAATCAGCCATAAAATTATTGGTTCCTGCTATTTATGATAATGGCTGAGAGTTCAGACTTCAATATTCAAGCCTCAGATGGTGAAGTCACTATGTTGCCTGCTGTACCTTAACCATATTTTTTATTAAGAGCAGAATATTTTAAATATGTTATTTAATGGAACATTTAATACTTCTTATATTACAGGCAGATTATTTTAAAAGAATTGCTACACCTAGCTTCTGTTTGAAGCTTGTTTCAGTGCAGATCATCTCAGTGTTTGGACAAAGAGGACACTGCTTATATAAAATAAAATAAAATAAAACAAAGCTGCAGAAAAAGTAGTTTTGACAGCCATATTCCTCTATTTTGGAAACATTTTACTTCTTTATTAGTATTCATTGAAGGAAACCTGCTTAAGCAAGAGAGGGAATTTGCAGATTTGAACTGACCATTTACTCGCTTTAAAGTTGTTTATTCCTAGTGGAAGAAATCTTTTTACCATGAAGTGAACAACATCAGGCAAAAGATGGTGAAAGATGTCTTGATTTCTCACCAGAAATAGAGCTGCTTTTTATAAACATACTCCATCCTGTGGAAGATGCTTTCTACTATAAGAGACTGGGTGGGGTTGTTATTAATATACACATGTAAACACATACGTATATGTGTGTGCATATGTATCTTTGGAGTCATCAAGAGGAGAAAAAAAGATTCTTTCTTTGCTGCTGGTATACATAAAACCTCTCTGAGTGGGTGTAAATTTTCCACTTCTGATCTTAGCCATCCTCCTTTCTTCTTCTTCTTCACTGAGCACTTCTCTCTGGACTGGCATGCAATGGACAACTATGGATAATTATGCAAAAAGGTCCAATGCCAGGAGAAGGGCTGTTTTTCCTCCCCTTGGTGATACATGAATAAGAGTATGTATTACATGACCTTTATTATTTCTTCAATTTCAGAATAGGTATCTTGCAAAACATACTATGACATTCTTGCTATTTTTTCCACTTCAT